TGTATATTGACTTATCTATATGTTTTCAATGAATTTCAACTATACCCATTGAAAAAAATTCCTTTTTTGCTTAGATTTTTGGAATATTGTATTTCATCACCTTATTTGCTACCTCATCCATGAAATTTCCTTTCCTTCTTGCATCTAATGTTGCTAATCACGCTTAAAAATATGGAATGTGATTCGTTGAGATAAAGAACCTTATTTGATTAATGGCTAGTTTTGGTGAATTTATGACTAATGGCTAGAGGTTGCTAAGTTGAAACTTATACGAAACATTTGTGTAAGTTTCTTTAAAAAATACCCACTCGGCCGGGTTCAAATTTGATTTTGAATTGTTATTTCCACTCCGAATCATGTTGCTATTTTTAGGGCATGAGTGTCTTGTCTTTCTAAATAGGGAAGAAAATTGCACCAGTTTACATTGTTTATATCTGGGCAAAAAAGTAAGCTATCGGAGTTCAATTCTGATCTACAGATTTCTTTTTTCTTTGGAACTTATTCTTCTTTCGGAGATATAGAGAGTTTAATTGTGTCCGGAGGCGGGGCTAATATTTCCAAAGGATGTCAATTGGTACCCTTTTACGAAAAATTACACCGTTTAGATAAATAATTCTTTTATGTATATATACTATATGTTGAATCCTCCTGACTTCTTTACTTCTTCTTTTTTAAAAAGAGACAAAATCAACAACAATTATGTGTGTGTGGAGGAAGGGAGTGGGGGGAAAGAGGGGAACAATGCAATATTATGTGTTACAAAATAATTTTGTCGAAAGTCAAAGAAGCATGAACATAATTAAAGTTACAACATATGACAAACACATGGATTATGCTGTTTCCTTCTCAACACAACCAATTTAAGACAAGATTACTAGCATTTATCATCATGTTTTTTTCTGCTGACAAATTTCAAATAAGAAATAATGAAAGTCATGCCAATTTTGCCTCATTAATTCTTGTAATATGTTCAAAATTCCGAGCTGTAGACCATATTTTTGGTGGTGACCAATATGTTTTAATTTGGAGCTAGTGGTACTATTTACTTGTGTTAGTAAATAGTAAAATGGAAATCTGAATTATCTTAATAAATGATAATATCACATCTCTAATATCTTAAACTTTTAAAATCAATTCACATACTTTAGCATGATATTAATAAGATGAAGAATTAACCTAAATAGACAACCCAATTGCTTTTACAAATGTATAATACATGTATAATTCATATGTAAAACCATTTATAATATATGTATATCGACAAGGAAAAGTAAACAGTGAATTCGACTGACTATTTGTGAAAAAATGAAATTTTTAACTCGAGTCGCACAATCACTTATCAACAAAGATTTTTTCACAATTTTTTTCCAATTTATACTTTCATTTAGATAGTTTCAATCTGCAAAAAATTTCATTACAACGTACAATCTAATGTTCATGTATCTAATTCAAGTCCTCTTTGTCATTATTATTCTTTCTAGCCGTCCTATACATTTATAGGTTAAAAAAGATATAAAAACAGAAGCGTAAGCAAAAAGAAGTCAAACAAAATATTTTACTTGTTTATTTCAAGAACCACCAGCAAAATAAAACATTTGATTGTTCTCACTGATATTACACTAGCTTTCCTGTTAAAATCCCCTCAATTCCTAGTCCTTGACTTTACTAAGAAAAAACACTTTTCCTTTAATTATGACAAAAATTGGAGTAAGTCAAAGCCACATCACATAATAGGGTCCATTTTGATATAACTTATCAGAGTCTATTAATGAACTAGCATAGCTTATGAGAGACAACAATTGACCAATTCATATAACACATTACCTTTTCCTTTATAATAACTTCTTTCACACCACTATTTGGGGTTGACATCATATTAATGACTTTTTGTTGATGATTTGATGCCGATCAGCTTGAGTATCTCGACTAATTTCATAGCATACCTGTTACTATTCACCAGCATAAATATCAGATAATTCTGTCCACCAAAATTTGAATATTTGAACCTAAGATATCATAATTCTCGATCTATTTAATATATTTTTTTTCTTGTTTCTATTCTATATTTTTCCTTTTGAGGTGGTGGTGGCTAGGGGAGGGCAAAGAAAATGTATCCACGAGAGAAGGGCAAAAAAATTGTTTTAAAAGCTAGAAGTCAAGAGTGGGAACATCTGATGGCCCATTGCTCCCCATTACTTTGCTGGATTGAAAATTGTACTCTAACTTAGAAATTATATGGTTGACTTCATGCCTAAAACTCATTAATCATTATCCTGCTGATGCTGAAAAAGAACAACAGAATTCGAAATATAAAGATTGGATTACCTAACTTTTTGCATATGATTCAAATATTTTATGATTTTTTTTTTTAAAAAAATTATTTATTTAAAAACTACATAAAGAAATACTATAAACCATATAAAAAGTCCTTTCATAATTGAAGATACTTATAAAATATTTGAAGGAACTTTAGTCAAGGAAAAATTTGTTCGACCCTCCAAACAATAACACCGTTACAAAAAATTGGACCATGAATATCTATTTTTCTTGTACTCTAAAAATAAGTTCGCTTTCACAAATTGCTTACAGTATGATGACTGTTGGAGACCCAAGTGTACCCCAAGATCACCAAATATTGGACCCCCATATAGAGCCCAATACAAAACCATCCAACCCAGAAACTAAAGGCCTAACTGATCCATATAGAGTCCAACGCAATACTAACCCAAAGTATACAACTCTTGACGGTAAAAATTGCACAGGGCGCCTTATTTGGTCGCTCTCATTTAACCTATACCTATTTTTTTTTAAAGTTTTAACTTGTACCCACTTTTTAAACAACTTCAGCCTCCTTTTTCCTCATGGGATGATTGCCATAAGTATGTTTATCAGATTATTTAAAAATAAATTATAAATAATTACGTAAGTTAGTAGACACTAATTTGTGAATATTTCCACGTAATTCTTTTCTTTTCACTTTTACTGTTTCTAAAATTTTATGATTTAGATATTGTTGGCAATCTGATTATTTTATAGTAGTAATACAATATGAAAGAATAAGGTGATTATTTATCTAGTATGTTAGAAAGCTTTTCAAAAACTTCAGCTTATATAGTGCTGAAGTTTTTACAAATGAACTAAATAATTTTAGCATCTTCTACTGAAGTTTTTGAAAAAGCTTTATGACAAAACTAATGAATCCAGGACAAAAAAACTTCAGCTTATATAGTGCTGAAATTTTTGAAAAAGCTTATCCAGGACAAAAAACTTCAGCTATTTTAGTGCTGACGTTTTTACAAATGAACTAAATTACTTCAACATCATCTGCTAAAGTTTTTGAAAAAGTTTTATGACAAACCTAATGAATCCAGGACGAAAAAAACTTCAGCGTATTGCCTTTGCTACTTCTGGCCCGTCTACTAGAATGCTGAAGTTTTGCGTGATTGTCTTTGCTACTTCAGCCCCGTATGCTGAAGTTACGCGAAAAAGTGGGTACGCTTGCAATTTTTTTTGCAAAGCGGGCACAAGTTAAAAGGTGACCCAAAAAGAAGGTATAGATGCAAATCCCCCCTCTTGACGTTATTCCCAAAACTCGTAAAAATTGTACGGGGCGCCCTATTTGGTCGCCCCCATTTAACCTATACCCATATTTTTAAAATTATTTAACCTATACCCTAATTTTAACAACTTCAGACGCCTCGTCTTCTTCCTCCTGACCTATGCGTTCCTTTCTTCCTCCTCTTCTTTTCTGATGAGTTCGTAACTTCAGACTCAAATGTCTGAAGTTTATACTTAGTATCTGAAGTATATACCCCATATGTTTGACAATCTTAGCCAAATATCTGAAGTTCATAACCAAATGTCTGTGAAGTTTATGTCAAAATGACTGAAGTTCATAGAAAAATATCTGAAGTACACAATTGAACTAAAGTTTGCCCTTGCTTATGAACTGAAGTTTGCGTGATTGCCTTTGCAAGTCAGGCCAAACTTCAGGCACAAATATCTGAAGTTTTGCTTTGACAATTGAACTGAAGTTTGCCCTTACTTATGAACTGAAGTTTGCGTGATTGCCTTTGCAAGTTGGGCCAAATTTCAGGCAAAAAATTATGAAGTTCAAACTTCAGACATAAACTTTTGCTACTTCAGGCCCGTATGTCTGAAGTTACGCAAAAAGCGGGTACGCTTGCAAATTATTTTTTGCAAAGCAGGTATAAGTTAAAAGGTGGCCCAAAAATTGGCATAGATGCAAATGCCCCAAAGGCTCAAGCCCGAGGTCCATAGCCGATGGTTGAGGTTGCAACAATCCCAATCATGTCCCTTGGCTGAGGAACCATTTCAGTATGACATATAGTGGTGGCAAAATGGATAAAATAATAGTTATTCACCCATATTATCCATTAAAAAATGGGTACGATAATGAACTTTTTAAAAATTGATCAAATATGGATAAAATCCATATTATCCACTTAAAAATAAATAACCATTGAGTTTACTTTTACATTTGTAAAGACTCAAATTGGAGGTTTCTCAAATACAGAAGACTAAAAATCCTCCCACTAGTGATCATATGCAAGAAGCTATGGATAATACGGATATCCATATTATCCACCGGTTAACCATTTTCTTTCTGTATTAAATATGAGTCAGGTCGAATAGTTATACAATTTTATAATACCCTTATCCGACCCGCCCATATCCGACCCGCCATGTCCATTTGCCACCCCTAATTGACATAAAAGCTGATAGTAGTTGAGCAACATCCAAACCTCCCCACCGGGCTGACAATTGGTTTGAGGTATCATTTGATCCTATGTTTTTGCAGTACAAATCTTCCTTCCAGTTGCTTTATGCTACAAATCTGGTATAAAATTGTTCCCTCTTCAAATAATTAAAAAGATTAAGTAAAATATTTCGCACCCTTCAAATGATAAAAAGACATGAAATCAAAAATCTCTTTACCATACTTAAAACTTTAAGCATCAAAAATAGGGTGAACAAAAAAAAAAAAAGTTATCAAACCTAACAGTGTATTAAGTTTTATAGGTAAACTGTACTATATCATTCCCTGAGGTGAACTAAAATGTAGAAAGCATAGCTTGGATCAGATATAGAAAATAAAGCACATGGCCTCGTTCTCTCAAAACATCAAAACGATCCCAATGTGTCAATGATATTCCACGATCAAGACAATTGAAAGTTGTCACAAGCAAACTATACATTCACTAAGACCTTCAAGCGGGCATATAACTCATTTAGGAGATAGTTTCCGTTTTACCTTCCATTAACTCTCTGACTCTCCAATACGCTTAGACAATTTTTAGAAGTCTTGCACTTTTCTATGGTACACAAACCACTTCAAAGAACCATCAAAACGAAGATTAGGCATGAGAAGATCCTTGTTTGCTGTCATTAACGAGTGAACCAACTGTTTTAAACCAACGCATAAGATTCCGATGGTCCTTCACATAGAGCCAAGCTTGTAGAAATGGAAAGAGGCTTTCATTAATTCCTCGCTCTTCAATGAACCTATGCAGCGCATCTCTCATTGCCTCATCAATATCTCTGCATTTGCATAAAATAAATAAGATGTTCCACTTCACAAAGTTTCCAAGTCTCAGTTGCACATTAGACCCACTGTTTAACAACAAAAGGCCCTCCACCACTTGACCTTTTTTGTGCATGAATAATAAAATGCATAAATACATCAGAGTAGAGTCATCTTGTTTGAGAACAAAGAAAAAATATAGAAACAAAACTCAATCGCACACAACATCCAAAAGAGAACAAGCCCTTGTGAAACTGGAACAACAATATCTTTTTGATAAATCAGAAACTGGAATAATATCAGACATTAAAAACTGGATGTAAGCATTAAAACAGCAAGATAATTAAAATTCCACTCCGGTTTATCTAAACAGCTCAGTTAAAAAGTTAAGAAAAACCAGTTATCCTTTCATTGACAACATATAAATGCACAGATCGAAGAGAATGGGTTTTAGCAAACAACATCTTCAACTAATAAAACTTCTCCTTGTAAGCAGCTTCAGCTGGTGTCTATGATTCATGTTCACAAACTGTTGATTCCATTGCTCAACGAAGAACCTCTAGAAAAGTAAATAATTTATTTAACAGAATTGTGTGAACCCATCCCAAAACACATGAAACAAAGAATGACCAAATTCCGGATTCATCCTAGGCTGACAGATATCTCACTTTTCCTACATAAGCCAAGGTGGCTTTCTTACCCAGTTAACTCTTACTCCTACATATTCTCTTTCTTTAACTCTACTCAAAATGATCAGGTACCATCACCATGCAATATTTATAACTGATCATTCTAATTATCACAACCGATTAAACAAGTCTACATTTCTGAACATGTGTCTCCATGAAGGTCGGCATACACCCTAGATAAACCCCCATGACAGCCAAGAGGAACAGATCCCTTAAACAACAATAGTAACATTTGTTTCAACACTGGCCACAAAAACCTTGTTTTCTTCCGGTTCATCTAGTACACTTTTGCAAACTGAGTGACCGAGAATAGCTCATAAGCTACTAGAATAAATTTTCAGACCATCAAAATGCTTCACTAATTGCTCAGGTCAAATTCCTAGGTGGCTGCATCAGAGTTCAGAGTTGTTCACATCCAATCAACTTAAGACAAATTCACACTGCACCAGCACTAAAACAGATGCTACTTTTGTTTTAAATATTGACTAAGAAAGATACTACTTGGCCAAGAATAGTCTTTCGGCCATCTACTTTGATTTTTTTTTTTTTTATAAGGTAAATTATATTAATCAAAAGGGACCATCTACTTTGATGTTACCCATATATTAAGGCTCCGGTGCTCACGCTTCTGCCTCATAGATATTTTTTAAGGCCAAGTACCCCTGTAGCTACCATTTCCATTATTGACTCTCATCCATCAAAGTTTTGGGAAGTTGAAAAGCAAAGATGTGGTGGTCAATGAACTGCATTCTCAAATTGTGTGGAAGAACCGAATTAACAGAAGCAAACACCCAAATAATTTTCAAATCAAATGTAGGGTTATGAAGTGTAACTGGAAGACCATTCAGGCATCACATCGTTACCTGGGTGCACCCAATTACCCAACGAGAAATGAAAAGCGAAAAAAACCATATAAGAACCAGGTCGATACTGGAAAAGTTAGATTAAGGAACAGATTGATTTAAGAAATGAGAATGGAAGGGAAGAATGGATAAGAAAGAATGGTGCATTTTCAAGTCAATCTATGTAATCTTACTCATTACTCTTTTTCTACAAGTATATCTTACTCATTGTTCTCATTCCGGTCATTCTACTTCATTTCCTTTCCATTCTAATCCAATCATTCCTAATGGATAGTTTGTGATTGATTGTTATATAACCTTGTGTGGTTTTAGTTGGAACATCATTTATTCATTTAGTACGAGTGTCCATCTCCTTCTCTTGATTAAAGTGTTGAATCTTGACTCTCTTGATACCCCTACACTGTCATCATGCAAAAATCCTTAATGCATATTCACGAATAGTGATAATACTCATGTAGATTCAGTTGAAAGAAACTTGAAATTCTCCTTGCAAAATAAATTTAAAAATATCCTATGGCGTGTTGTAGTAGGTTATGATAGTTTATCCTAAATCATTCCTCTTACAAAACCCTGACAGAGATAAAGAAGAATAAGTAACACAACAACAACAGCCCAGTGTGGTCCCACAAGTGGGGTCTGGGGAGGGTAGGATGTACGCAGCCTTACCCCTACCCTGGAAGAGCAGAGAGACTGTTTCCGATAGACCCTCGGCTAAAGAAGGTGAGAGAAGCCCTGGTAGCAAGTAATAGCAAAACGATAATTAGAAAACTAAGTCGGAGATAGCAACAGATAATATGAAAGGGGTACTGATAACAAGTAGCAGCGAGATAACATATTTAGAAAACTAATTCCAAGACAGCAGACGAGAATATGAACGAAGTACTGCTAGCAACTACGGAATTACCAATGGCAAGTAACAACGAAACGAGACATGCGAATATAGAAAACTAAGGGAAAAAAGGGTACCGAACTAGCGCTAATACTATCGAGCTAGAAGACAAAGGGAGATACACGACTACCTACTAACCTTCTACCCTAATCTTTAACCTCCACACCCTTCTATCTAGAGTCATGTCCTCGGTTAGCTCAAGTAGCGCCATATCCCGCCTGATCACCTCTCCCCAAGACTTCTTTGGCCTACCTCTACCCTTCCTCACACCTCCTAAGGCTGACCTCTCACATCTCCTGACAGGGGCATCTGCGCTTCTCCTCTTAACATGCCCGAACCATCTCAACCTTGCCTCACGCATCTTTGCCTCCACAGGGGCCACTCCCACCTTGTCTCGAATAACTTCATTCCTAATTCTATCCAACCTAGTATGCCTACACATCCATGATCCATCTCAACATCCTCATTTCCGCTACCCTCATCTGCTGGACAAAGAAGAATAAGTAATCTAGGCATTTAAACTCCCAGGTGGCTCGCTTTGGTGCCCAGACGGAAAAAAAATTTGAATTTCATTTTTTTGATCTGAATGCTAGGAAGATATATGGTGTGGTTGCATCACTTATCTCTACAAGATACAACAACAACTACCCAGTGAAATCCCACAAAGTGGGGTCTGGGGGGTGATGTGTACGCAGACCTTACCCCTACCCCGATAGGGCAGAGAGGTTGTTTCCGATAGACCCTCGGCTCAGAAAGACCCTCTACAAGATACATGTTATCCATAATTTTCTAACTATCCTGATGGAAAGATATGGGACTGTAAGGTTTCAGATTCAGGCTAATTTTAGTTCAGGTTCAGGAGATTTTAAAGGAAAAAGAAACTATTTACCTAAATGAATGAATGAATACATGGGTGAAATAACATTTATATCGACGGGAAACTGCGGAAACATGACAAGCAAACATAAATCAGCAGTTATCTATTGTATAGTGTACTCCAGTAGCAGCAAGTCAAAAGCACTGCCCACCAAATAAAATGTGCCATTATTTTTTATTGTGTGCTTAAGAATTTTGATTATACTATCAAATATGGAACTCAAGAGAAAAAATTCACTTTTGTATCAATTGGTGTCTCACTAAACTAAGGAGCTTGAATTTTGACTTCCATCCATCCAAATCCAATCGCCTTTTATATAGAACAAATGAATAAACAACTAGGTGATGGTGTCTGAATCAGTAGAAACAGACGGACAGCCAAACAACCAAATATAATCGTCTTATATACAGAAGAATGAACAGACAAGACAACTAGGTCATGATGTCTGAATGGGTAAAAATATAGCAGACAGCCAAACCCAACAGCATAACAAGCATCGGAAAAAGACTTACTGAAAAACTGGGCCACTGTAATTGGTTGGAACAGCAAGAAACCCAGTAGACTCAGCCTTTGGCCTCAATGAAACCGAGTGTATTCCCAGAGCATCTGGATATAGCCCGCAAAGAAAATGCAGAGATTCCTTCTGTCCTGGCTTTGAAATATCAACATGTAGAAAAAGCTGATTGATACCATCCTCCTCCTCATCTCCACCACCTCCAGGAATAATGTTGGCCAACCGCATGACAGAGATACTGATTTCCTCATTTCCATGTGTTCGTCTTAGAACGGGACCACCTTGATCAAGTGCCCCCTTGACCACAGTGAATGGAGTAGGAGGGCTAACTTTCTGTCAATCACCCGAAAGATGCAAAAAGGAAATCAAAAATCACATTAACAGGTGTTGTCACAAATAGCAGCAAATCATCTGAAGCTTAAATAAAATTTAAAACTGAAGTTTGTAAATTCCATACTCAATGACAAGATATTGCTTCAGATTTAAGCATCACGACCTTCATTACAAGTGTTAGGTATGGGTGTCATCATCTACGAGGCTATCACTTAAAACAGTAACAAAATCAATTAAAGAATATATTCAAATTTCATTGATCGTTCCTTTTTGTTTTTCTTTTTGGGTGTTTTGATAATAAATCTTAGATGATATTTTTCTAGGTACAAGAAGAACCGTACACTAAAACAAAGACATGGTTTACACTTTTCCATTGAAAATTTTCTTCCCACAACAACCCACCATAATTATCTATTTCACTCACAAGCTCTAACAAATCCCAGAAGAACAAAATTGCACCCAGCATCATGGCAACTTATTACATCGTATTGCCATTCCACCCCATATTTCCTAAGAGAAGAGCTATTATAAATTTATAAGACTACCCTACACAGTTATTGCTAATCTCGAACGAATACATATGTGAGTTGGAGAAAGTGTGTAAACACAAAAAAACTGTAATCCCTAACTGTACAACATAGTCCCTTACTAGTATACCTGAGACACAAGCTTCACAATAGATTGATAATTTGTGCCATAATGGTGGAATTTCTGCCACTATGGACACATGGCTTTGAATTATCTTTATGGTCCATAACTTAACACCACTGACAATCCAAGTCTACGAAAGCGACTTGCATAAGAACTCCCTCCTCGCAGTAAGTCTAGGAAGTAGATGCCTTAAAGCTAGTCTTATAGAAGTGCTCAAACATCTGGCTCCTAGAGACCAGCGTAAAGGTCTAAAAATGAACAACTGATGTTCTGTGCTCCCTAAACCTAATGCAAACAGCCATGCTTCTTATTTCAACGCCATCTTGACCAATATTCACTATCACATCAACAGAAGTCAAAAAAACTCATATCTAACACAATTTACAAATAATCCAATATCATTGCTCAAAAGCATGTAGGCTTGTGTAACTGTTAGCCCCTCGACTTGATTGATCAAACATGGCACGGCCATGACGAGGGATTTACATGATGGACCTCGGCACGGCCCTATGATGACTGCGGCATCATGTTGACAAGGCTGTTCGACATGGGGAGGTGTTGATGGGCATGGACTGTGGCACGACGGCATGTGGCTTAGGTGCCAAGGCATAACAAGACCATGGCATTGGCGTGGCCATGGCAAGGCAAAGACAACGGACAGCAAAAGCATAGCAAGGGCCGGAAAAACTAAGGCAAGCTAAGGCAGGGCGTGGCAAGGTAGATGGGTGCGGGCAAGGCACTGTCATTGGCGAGCTAGGCACGCGGCAGTGGCAGACAAGCGCGCAAGGCATGCTGCACGAGGACATGGCGCGAAGACATGATAAGAGTTGGCTTGTTGGCATCAAAATTCAAAGGATGCGCCCATGTGCCACGCACATGCAAGACGGTTGGGCAGTTTCCTATTTTTAAGCATGAGTGGCTATGTGGGGGTGTGGGTAGTTGTCTGTTTTGAAATTCGAAGTTTGAATTCCTTTGCAGTTGGGGATGTCAACTGCTAGGTTAGGATAAGGTTGTGAGCCAAAAACGTTGGCATATATATGCTTAGGCTAGGCAGACTTGTGAAGTCAGTGTTGGCTGTCTTTGGCTTCTTTTTGTAAGGCTTTTGTATGTATTTCTTTGTAGCACGAGTTTAGTACAAAGTTGGGAAGTAATTCCTAAGCCTCGTCTAATTTTTGTTGCCTTTTATATTCTAAAGTATCAAACCAAAACGTGAGGGAAAAAGGAAGAGGGCTGAGTCATTGTCGTGTGACTGTCGTGCAGAGTCAAAACGGAAAAAAATTGACCCTGTAACAACTGGTATCAAAGCAACTTTGGCAAGATCTTGGAATTATCATGGCTGGAAATGCAAAATTTCGAGAAAGACTTCAGAAGTTGGAGGCGTTGGTAGGAGTAACTGATGACGCTATGGATCTGGTGGATATTTTGACGCAGATCCACGGTGTTAACACAGAACTTCAACACGTTCGTGAGAGTGTTGACACCCAACTGGTGGAATTGCAGGCTTTCCAAGAAACTGTTGCAGAGCAGTTGAAAAAATTACAGAAGGAGAATGAGGATCTTAAGACGGAAATTCAGATCCTTCGATGGGTTGTTGCAAATGTGCCCAAGAAGGTGAAGAACACACCAAAATTAAGATTCCAGAGCCAAAGGCATTTGATGGCGTGAGAGGCGCCAAGGAACTGGAAAACTTCTTACGGGACTTGGAGCATTACCTCTCTACTGCTCACGTCCCGTAGAAGGACAAACTGACCATGGCGATGCGTTATTTCAGAGGAGATAAAGTGTTGTGGTGGTGTACGAAAAATGCAACGACGAAAGTGCTGGCAGACCCAGGGTTGATACTTGGGAGAAACTTCGTGACGCGCTGAGGGATAAGTTCTTGCATAGCAACTCGTCTTGCGTTGCAAGGGATCGCTTGAAGCAGTTGAGACAGACTGGTTCTCTTTGGGACTATGTGAAAGATTTGTCATCCTTGTTGCTGGACATCCAAAACATGTGGGATGAGGATAAAGTAAACTGCACAATTTCATTTTCGGAATGCAAGGCTGGGCACAAAACGAAATTCGTAGGTAGAAAGTTAAAGATCTGCCTAGTGCATTTGCGGCAGCGGACGCATTGGTGGATTTTTTCTCAACTGGTCTAACTTTTGATCCTGCTTCTTCTTCCATGTCAAAGGAAAAGGAGAAGAGTAAGGACCGGAAGAAGGACATTCGGAAGCAAGATGGAAATGACAAAGGCAAAGGCAAGATGGATGCTTCTTCATCAAAAACAAACAGGCCAACGAGTGGTGAAAAGGTTTGCTAGACATGTCAAAAACCTGGACATCATGCACGAAATTGTCCAAATTAAGGAAAGATAAATGCTCTTCTTGCTGAAAAGGAGAAACAAGGAAAGGGCCAGGAAGTTGCTGCTTATGCGAATCCATTGCATATGTTGAACACTTTGGCTTGTGTAACTATGGCGAATGATGAAGAAGATGCTGCCAAGGAAGAGGTGGCATAAGTGAATGCACTAATGTATGTGGATCTGAAAATCGGAAGCAAGAGTGTCGTGACAATAGTTGATACCGGAGCTACGCACACCTTTGTTGCCTCCAGAATTGTTCAAGAGTATGGGATGTGAACTCAAAGGCGCAACCTGTCTACGGGGTGGCGCTAGATGTCCCGATGATATTGGGCCATTGGTCTGGAAAGTTCAACATGACTGTTGTGCCATTAGATGACTTCAATGTGCTGTTGGGAATTGATTTTCTGAAGAAGAACAAAGTCGCTCCAATTCCTCATTTGGATGGACTTATGTTCATGGGGAGACAAACCCCGACTTTGTGAAAGGTATTCGGCCCCACGGGGATGAAAGAAAGAACGTTGGGATTGCTGCTTTGATTTCTGCCATTGCATTTGAGAAAGGCTTGAAGAGGGATGAGGAGACTTACCTCGCTGCACTCGTTGAAGTCAAGCCAACTGTGTAGATTGAGATCCCGGATTGTGTTGCAGATTTGCTGAAAGAATTCAAAGATGTGATGCATCCAGAATTGACAAGGGAGTTACCACCGAGGAGGGAGATTGATCAATGCCGCCTGCGCAGCCTCCTTACCAAATGTCACCTATGGAACTTACTAAATTAACGAAGCAATTGTCTGAGTTGCTTGATGCTGGGTTGATTCAACTATCGAAGGCTCCATACGGTGCTCCTGTTTTGTTCCAGAAAAAGCAGGATGGTACGCTGCAGATGTGTGTTGACTATAGCATGGTGAACAAGGTGACTGTCAAAAACAAGTACCCGGGCCCTTTGATTCAAGATTTGCTTGACAGGCTCTCCAAGGCTAGTTATTATACTAAGTTAGACCTAAGGTCAGGCTATTGGCAGGTTAGGATAACCGAGGGGATGCCCCTAAGACCACTTGTGTAACTAAATATGGTAGCTTTGAATTTCTTGTAATGCCGTTTGGGCTAACCAATGCCTCGACAACTTTTTGTAATTTAATGAACAATGTTCTTTACGAGTATCTTCATGACTTTATAGTTGTTTACTTAAACGACATAATCATCTATAGTCGGACCCTTGACAATCATTTGTCTCACTTAAAGGAAGTGCTGGAAAGACTTAGAGCTTATCAGCTTTATGTTAAGATGGAAAAGTGTGAATTTGCAAGACGCGACATAAAGTTTCTGGGCCATTTGGTTAGTGAAAACCAAGTGCAGATGGACCAAAGAAGGTGCAAGCAATAGTTGAATGGCAAGCACCAAGCGGGATAAAGGAACTTAGATCATTTTTGGGCTTGGAAAATTATTACCGAAAGTTCATTGCACGCTATTCAAAAAGGGTTGCTCCTTTGACAAATTTGCTTAAAAAGAATGTCAAATGAGTTTGGTCGGATTCGTGTGACAAGGCTTTCAATGCATTGAAGAAGGCCATTGCATCCGAACCAATCTTGAAGCTGCCAGATTTTGATTTGCCATTTAAAGTACACATTGATGCTTCAGATTATCCTGTTGGCGGTGTGATGTTCCAGGAGGTATCATCTAGTTGCATTTGAAAGCAGAAAGTTGAACGATGCGGAGCAACGTTATTCTGCACATGAGAAAGAGATGGTTGCAGTAATTCATTGCCTTCAAGTTTGGAGAGTCTACTTGTTGGGGACAAAGTTCGTGGTGCGGGCGGACAATCGTGGCTAATACATACTTCAAGAATCAACAGAAAGTGAGTCTGAAGCAAGAGTTCTTAGCTGAATATGACTTCGTTTGGGTGCACAAACCTGGAAAACAAAATCAGGTTGTCGATGCACTAAGTTGCTGCAACTTATGCACTTACTCGAATTGAATATGATTTTCTGGATACAATCAAGTTATGTGTTGTGAACGATCCATTGTATGTGAAATTAATGGATCAAGTGAAAGACGGGACAATTAAGCGGTATTGGATCGGGGACGATCTGTTGCACTTCAAAGGGGGGAGAATTGTGGTTCCTCAAGGTGCTGGATTGCGTCGTTCTCTTCTAAAGAAGAAGCATGATACTCCTTATGCTGGTCATCCGCGTGTTGAAAGGATGTTGGCGTTGCTGTCCAGGAATTACTTTAGGCCGAAGATGGAAGATGACGTCGAAGCCTGTGTGAAAACTTGTCTACTTTGTCGGCTTGACAAGACTGAACGGAAGAAAGAAGATGGTTTGCTACAACCTCTACCAATTCCGAAGTGTCTGTGGGCTTCTGTCTCTATGGACTTTATCAGCGGGCTTCCAAAAGTTGATGGCAAAGCATCAATTATGGTGGTGATAGACAGATTCTCAAAGTACGGGATTTTTGTTGCTGCTCCAACCGTTTGTTCTTCTCAATTAGCTGCTGAATTATTCTACAAGCATGTTGTGGAACACTTTGGGATTCCAAGGGATATAAGTTGATGGCAAAGCATCAATTATGGTGGTGATAGACAGATTCTCAAAGTACGGGATTTTTGTTGCTGCTCCAACAGTTTGTTCTTCTCAATTAGCTGCTGAATTATTCTACAAGCATGTTGTGGAACACTTTGGGATTCCAAGGGATATTGTGAGTGATCGCGATCCGAGATTTACATGCCGGTTTTGGACTGCTTTATTCAAAATCTTGGGGACTGATTTGAAATTCTCGATTGCAAATCACCCACAAACCGATGGTAGACCGAGCGTATCAATCATCTGCTTGAAGAGTAGTTGAGGCATTATGTGACTGCTAATCAGAGGAATTGGTTTGAGTTACTAGACAGTGCACAGTTTTGATACAACTTGCACAAATCTTCGGCAACTGAAATGAGTCTATTTGAGATTGTGTTGGGAAGACAGCCTGACAGTCCGCTGGAAGTTGCTCAGTTGAAATCAGGAGGCAAATGTCCTGCTGCTTATAGATATGCTCGCGACAAGCATGAGTTGTTGGCTGAGGTGCGAGACAACTTGAGAAGAGCGGCTAAAAGAATGAAAAGGAATGCTGACAGAAATAGGCGGCCTTTGGAGTTCAATGTTGGTGACAAGGTGATGATGAAGCTTACTACCCAGATTTGGAAGAAAATCAATAGCAAGACGCGTCATCGTGGTATGATTCCAAAGTATGATGACCCATTTGAAGGTGTAAAGAAAGTGGGTGAAGTGGCCTACCAGCTGAATCTGCCGGAAGATCTCAAAATTCACCCAACTTTTCATGTGAGTTTCCTGAAATGATTCCATGAAGATGCTGAGGATCCTACAAGGGCGGTGCCAAAACGTGCTCCTCCAGTAGAGCACAAGAAATTTGAAGAGACTATTGAAAAGATTTTGGATCACCGTACGATGGGTCAAAGCAAAAAAAAAAAAACAGGCGGACAGAGTTCCTGGTACAATGGACGGGAAAGCAGGAGTGTGATGCAACTTGGGAGAAAGGACCGTCCCTATGGCAATTTCAGGATCAAATCAAGGCGTATCAGGATTCTAATTCGTCGAGGGCGACGAGCTCATCTGGTAGGGAAGTTTGTTAGCCCCTCAGCTTGATTGATATGGCATGGGCGTGACGAGGGATTTACATGATGGACCTCGACACGGCCCTATGATGACTGTGGCATCATGTTGACAATGATGTCCGACACGGGCAGGTGTTGATGGGCATGGACGGTGGCACGACGGCATGTGGCTTAGCCGCTTAGGTCCCCAGGCATGACAAGACCATGGCATTGGCGTGGCCATGGCAAGGCAAAGACAACGGACAGCAAAAGCATAGCAAGGGCTGAAAAAACTAAGGCAAGCTAAGGCAGGGCGTGGCAAGGCAGATGGGCGCGAGCAAGGCAGTGTCATGGGTGAGTTGGGCATGCGGTAGTGGCAGACATGCGCACAAGGCATGCTGCATGAGGACATGGCGCGAAGACATGATAAGAGTTGGCCTGTTGGCATCAAAATTCAAAGGATGCGCCCATGTGCCACGTACATGCAAGACAGTTGGGCAGTTCCTATTTTTCAGCATGAGTGGCTATGTGGGGGTGTGGGCAGTTATCTGTTTTGAAATTTGAAATTTGAATTCCTTTGCAGTTGGGGATGTCAACTGCTAGGTTAAGATAAGGTTGTGAGCCAAAAACGTTTCATATATATGCTTAGGCTAGGCAGACTTATGAAGTTAGAGTGTTGGCTCTCTTTGGCTTCTTTTTGTAAGGCTTTTGTATGTATTTCTTTGTAGCACGAGTTTAATACAAAGTTGGGAAGTAATTCCTAAGCCTTGTCTAGTTTCTGTTGCCTTTTATATTCTAAGTATCAAATCAAAACGTAAGGGAAAAAGGAAGAGGGCTAAGTCATTGTCGTGTGACTGCCGTGCAGTGCTAAAACGGAAAAAAATTGACCCTGTAACTGTAACCATCAAGCTTATGTGGAAGTGGCTATGTAGCTTGAGGCAAGATGCTAAATGCTCTTTATCGCAGATCGCTCTTTAGCTGCTTAGCTTGATATTCACTGCACTGAGAGGGAATTCAACCTTGTGTTCTTACAATTCAAAACAGTTGATTGCATTACCTATAGATATTGTACTTGGGTGTATACACACTAGCTGCTACCAGGAGAACACTATTGCCAAACTGCATTCACCTTGTATGCATATCATGTTAGCTCACTAGGGCAATTACATACTTCCATTGTAACTGAATGAGTTGTCCACAGTTCAGTGTACCCTTAACCCTTACCGTTGTGCTTGATACCTTCTTCACTCACTCAAGAAAATTACTCAAGTATCTAGAGAGCCCACCCAACAAAAACTACCCACCCAACAAAAACTAAAAGCAAAAATGTTACACCCTCCTTTGAGCCATCATCCTCAACTCTCTCTCTCTCTCTCTCTCTCTCTCTCTCTCTCTCTCTCTCTCTCTCTCTCTCTCTCTCTCTCTCTTAAGTTCTAACCACCATTCTCACTTCCTTTATCATAACCATTTTAACTCATACTCCGTTTGTCCCAATTCATGCGACACATTTCCTTTTTATTAATCCAACAAAGAATGACACATTTCTATATTTAGACATAATTTAACTTTAAATTTTTCATTTTACCATTAATGAGATAATTTATAGGCTATAGCCACAACAGTATCTATGAGCTGTTTTAGACTGCAAGTTTCAGAAGTCTTTTTTTCTTCCTTAAACTACATGCTCACTCAGACACATTCACATAAATTGGGGGACGGATGCACTAGCTTATATTCCACAGCTCCCCACTATATGCAAAGAGGATCAATCACCTTCTCTTATCATAAATTTAACAAATTAACCCCAATCCTTCAATACAGTCTCCATATGCACACACAAAAAAATAACACACACCCCCGCGCGCGCGCGCGCACACAAAATCGCAGCACTGACCCCCATACACATATAAAATTTAAACTTGGAAAAAATATCAAATTCTAACTTAAAGAACAGACATTATTCAGTTAAATAAACATACACATATGAACTCCAGGGTGGTAGATTACCGGAGGAGGGGTCATTTTGGAGACTTCAAGATAGTGGTCTTTAAGGGACCGGAGAATTATACTGTTCACGGCTGAGGAAACACTCGACGACCGCCGCCATGCTATTGTGCGCCATGGCTGTTGTTGTTGCAGTGCGCTTCCGGTGCATGTTAGAGCCTTCCGCAACATTTTTTTTTTCCTTGGAAGCTTTTGTTAACTCTGTTTTTAGTGCTTTAGGCCTTGGGGTAGGGGACAGAATAGTGGCGAGTGCCGATATTTCTCTTTTAGCCCTTCAGTTATAGGTCTATTACTTTAAAACCATGCTGAAAAAACTTTATTACTAACATATATATTTTAGAAGCTACCACCTAAAAAAATTTCTTTTGAGCTTGGGCAGATTAATTACGCACACCTCGACTCGTATGCAATTTAGGAATATCGGGTTTATCTAAATCTAATTCTTTCAATACGAAGTATGTACTTGTATGTAAAATTCACTAGAAATACTATAAATAGTATATATGAACTCATAATTTTAAAAGAATAATGGATTTAATGCTAAAAATCTTAGGTACCCATAGAGTTTAAATGAGTCCGAAACCTAAATAATAGTATTTTGGACTCAAAATCCTTTATACAGCTAAAAAAAAAGTTACCTTTCTAACTAAAACGAAGTATTATCCTGTGTTTTAGTTTAACGGAAAGTTAGTCGTTAAAGAAAAACGTAGTATAATACTGCGTTTTAATTAATAATTCATTTTTTAATGTAAAATGCAGTATAATACTACATTTTATATAAAATGCAGCATAATACTGCGTTTTACTTCCTTTTTGGGCCCACCAATAAAAAACTGCGGATAAATGGCATAACAATAATCCAAATACATAAAGCGTGGTATTATACTACATTTTATATAAAAAAAAAAAAGTCTGCACCCCAAGCTAGGACTTGCCTTATTTAAAGGCGTTAGGATTTTATGAAAATCCATTCAAAACTTTCCTTCAAACTTCCTTTCATACTTCTGTTCTTGTTATCAAGCATTTTTTATAATGTCTGAAGAGCCAAAAATAAGGTTTTCATTATATTGGGGGGTGAGGTTGTAATGGAGAATAACTCTGTGAAGTATAGTTCACATCCACAGTGTAATGTTAAATTGCCGCTTACAATGGAGTACGACAAATTGATATCGTTGTTATGTAAGAATGAGTGTGAGGAAACGTTCGGTGAACCTTAAAGTAATCGGTAGATTTTCGTATTCTCTGACTCCGCAGGGGTTTGCTTATTATTTTGAGTTTAACATCAAAGATGATGAAACTCTTAGAGATTTTTTGCGGATTCCGGATGAATACAGGGAATTTATTATAATAAAATTATTGAAAATGTACGTCAAGGTTGAAGACGTTCCCAATAATGAGGGTGTGCATGGTAGGGATAACCCCCAGTCATCGGGTGGTTATTTTGGAGCAGTTTTTGCCGGACAGATTCCTGATGAAAGAGGTTGCCTTGATTTAAACTTGTCACCGCCAGCGAATGAGCAGTGAGAAAATAATGTTTCGACTTTATATAATCCACAAGACGACTGGTAAACTTCAATTTTTCTACGCTTTAGCGATGTTTATTTTATGTTTGAATTGGTTTTGTATTAACACTCATATTTTTCATAGGGGGTACCGTCCGGATATGAATTTTACAAGTTATGACCCCGCTCCTAGTTGGAATATACGTAGTTATGGCGTGTTGTACCACGGTGGTCCAACCGGGAGTCATCACCAACAAGAAAATGTCCATCATGGAACGTCAACACAGTACGGCTTGTAAGTAAAGTGATATAGCTATATGTAAAGTATATATCTGGTTGAGTAGCTTATCATTTTGTTCTTTTTGTGCAGTGAAAACGAGCAACTTGATGTTCCTGACCTCACATAGTTGCCCGTAGACGACATCTTTACTCGTGATTTGGCAGATGCGCAGAGTCAGAAAGATGATAGTGATTATGACAACAATGCCGATGAGTCTGGAGATGACACACCCTTCCCTGATGAGGGTGATGATGAGGAGGAAGTGAATGTCGAACCTGAGCTGACGAGGGAGCATGCTCCTCCACCTCCCGTTAGACCAAGAGTGTACGAGTCCCACGTGCCGTTTCATGAGCGGAATATTCCCTACCTTGATAATTTGCCAAGTATGCCGGATGTGGATGCCTTCACAAGGGATGCTGACAAATTTCGGTCAGCAATGTGGGATGAGTCTAGACCAGCGGTGCTGGCAAAGGGCATGCATTTCCCCGATAAAGCTCGCCTAATCAGAGTTGTGAAAATCTACAGCGTAAGAGAATGCCGTGAGATGACGGTAAGGGAGTCAACTACGGAGGTATACAAGGCTGTATGTCGTAGAGACTTTATGGGTTGTCACTAGATGTTGCGTACCAGCAAGCAGAAATCAGGATTGTGGAAAGTAGGTAAATATATTAGCACCCACATATGTGAAATGGACACATTCAGTGAGAATCACTTCAACCTGGATGTAGACTTGATTTCTCTTGTCTTGATTCCATACTTAGAAGTGTCCATTAGGTTCAAGATTAAAGAGTGTATTACAGCCGTCCACCAGGAGTATGGGTGTACTATAACCAAAAGAAAGGCATATCTCGGGCGCAAACGTGCCTTTGAAATTATTTATGGTGACTGGGATAAGTCATTTTCATCTCTGCCCAGGTACATGGCCGCACTGCAACACTTTAACCCCGGGACTGTTGTTGAATGGAGGCGTGAGCGGAGTCCGGACAGACCCGAATATATTTTCAACTATGTGTTCTGATCATTTAAACCAACAATTGATGGTTTTATGTCGTCTTGTAATTTCCATAGACGGTACTCATGTCTATGGAAAATATGATATTAAGCTTTTGATTGCAGTTGCAGTAGATGCCAACGGACAAATATTTCCACTAGCTTTTGCAATTTGTGCCAATAAAAGCAAAGCGACGTGGACGCTTTTTTTGAACCACCTGAAGCAGCACGTTGTCAAACAGTGTTCAGGTATTTGTCTAATATCTGATCGACACGGTGGTATTTTAAGTTCCGTACGGCATTTGCCTGAATGGCAGGAACCCTATGCATACCACCGTTATTGTGTGAGGCACCTAAAGGCCAATTTTCACAAGAAATATCACAACAAGACCTTGCATGATTTAATGTGGATGGCTGCAATTGAGCACCGGCAGTGCAAATTTATGAGGCGTATGGAAGCGATCTGGCAGATTGATCCACGAGCATATACTTGGCTTATGGGACATGAGCTTCACATGTGGACATTGCATGCTGATGGTGGAAGACGATGGGGAGCCCTGACTACAAATGTGTCGGAGTCATTCAACGGCTTATTGAATTCTGCACGTGGATTGCCTGTCACTGCGGACGGTCAAACTGGCAAAGTACCCGCTCTGTGGCATGATGGTCCACAACATCGAGGCACATTAGCGGGACAGAAGTGCTCCAAATCAGTCAGTCGACAGAGTAATAATTGGGCAGGCCAGCTATCAACTCGTCGCTGTATTGCGTCCAGATGAACTATCAAATAATAACATAAAAGTGAGTATGCGCACCAGGGATGTGAATTTATTACAAGTCAGTGTAGGTAGCTATTAACCTGTGCGGCCTCCAGCATATCCAACACATCCCTGACAAGGGGGAGATTATGATGAGCATCAATGCCTCGGTAGTTCCCACGCCGGAGAACCCACCTCGTAGCTAGAGGGAGGAACGGAGGTGCTACACCAGGAGGTAATGGTGGTAAAAGTGGCTGCAACGGCAGGAACCACTCCCAGGCCCAAACCTAACATACAAGGTCGACGTAAAATTTAAGAGTCATTTTGACTATATAGAATTGGAAGTAATGAACAGAGTATTCGTATATGTTGTCACCCGTAGAAGCGGCAAAAAACCACATATGTCGCTCTAGGCGCCCATGCTAGCCCGGCACATACTCTTGTACAGGTAAGCGAGAACAGCAACACCCCAGCTGTACTGGGGTAACTCATCTAGCTGCTGAAGATGATGTAGAAATTGCATACTCACTAGATTTCCCGAAGTGTTTGGGAACAAGACACCCCCAAATAGAAGGAGCAGCGCCAACCTCGTGTACCGGTGAATATGGGGATCATCTGTCTCGCCGGTGATGTCGGGGTTCAATACCTCCAAATGTTGTCTGATAGCTGTCATAGCAATGCGACTGCCGTGTCTAGCTGCATCCTCACCCTGTGGCCTGAAACCAGTAAACTGCTGCAACAACTACAAATACTGGGCACGCGTCATAGATCTCATATATTGAGGCAGTGCAACGGCCAGTCCATCAGCACGCAACCCATATAAAACCTGAACCTCCTGAAGCGTGATGGTGGCCTCGCCAATGGGCAGGTGAAAAGTATGCGTCTCCGATCGCCACCGCTCTATCAACGTCGTGATCAAAGACCGGTCGAGCTGCAGCCGCCCCATCTAAAAAATCCTATAGAAGCCCGTAGTAATGAGGCACTCGACTACGCGAGGATGGAAAGCTCTCTCCCTAAAAAAGTCCCACAAGTCGTCCGGTCTCCTGGCGCGGAGAGTCTGATCCACTAGCTGTCCCTCCATACGGACGCGGACCTATGATCGCCCTGTAACACTAATATCTTATTCGAGGCTGGTCCAGGCATGTCCATGTCGTCTACTGTAAATTAAACAATATTAATTGTGTGTTTGTGTTATAATAATTAATATTTAAATTTTTAATTGGACGGCATATATATATCTATGGGTTCCAGGCCCGATATTTGAGGCCCAGTAGCACCAAGTTATTCTGAATTTTTATGTGTGTCAATTTATATTTTTGTAAAATTTTGTTAGTTTTATAAAACTAATATTTAATTATTTAATTGGACGGAGTAATATATATGAGTTCCAGGCTCGATATTTGAGGCCTAGTAGCACCAAGCTATCCTGAATTCTTATGTGTGTCAATTTCAATATTTTTAAAATGTTGTTAGTTTTATAAATTAAATATTTAATTATTTANCAAACGGATGTTATAATAATTAATATTTAATTATTTAATTGGACAGAGTAAATATCTATGGGTTCCAGGCTCGATATTTGAGGCCCAGTAGCACCAAGCTATCCTGAATTCTTATGTGTGTCAATTTCAATATTTTTAAAATTTTGTTAGTTTTATAAATTAAATATTTAATTATTTAATTGGACAGAGTAAATATCTATGGGTTCCATGCTCGATATTTGAGGCCCAGTAGCACCAAGCTATCCTGAATTCTTATGTGTGTCAATTTCAATATTTTTAATTTTGTTAGTTTTATAAATTAAATATTTAATTATTTAATTGGACAGAGTAAATATCTAATGGGTTTCCAAGGCTCGATATTTAATTTGGACAACATATATTAATATGTTAGTTCTGTGTGTTTGGTTTTATAAATTAAATAATTAATTTTTTTGTAAAGTGCAATTGGAATAGAGTTTGTAGTTAGTAGATACTTAAACTAACAGAGACTCTACGCTAAAAGGCTCTATATTTTACTACGATAAAAGGCTCTATATTTTACTACGCTATAGTCTCTATATTTTACTACGCTAAAAAGGCTCTATATTTTACTACGCTATAAGGCTCTATATTTTAACTACGCTAAAAGGTCACTATTCTTTAAGCAAATAAATAAATAATCTAAAGAAAATAAAAACAACAAAACATATGAACATAACATTCACGAAATTACTATAAAACAGTAAGAAATTTATGAACATTTTTATTAACAATAAAAATTATTTCTCAACTTTAACTATTTTTTTAAACACTAAAAAATTTAATCCGGATAAAAATAACATACAAATTTAATCGCAAACAAAACACAAGCAACGTGGAAACACATTCAAGAAAACAAATATGCATAATTATACGAGTTTCCGACATAAACACAAAATCGGAATACCTCGATTTATGTTTTTAGAAATGTCGGATAATTAAAATTGTGAGCCCCAAAACAAGGAAACCACAACAATCGAAGACTTGGTTTGTATGTGGGACCTACACTCTTCACTTTTTGTGTGACGGGTGGGTCCCAATCGATTTTTTTTAAAATCGAGGGGGGGGGGACCGGCTGGAAAGGGTGGGGTATTTTTTAAAGAAACCTTCTGGTTTCTGTCGTGAGGAAGAAGGAGACTTTATAATTTAATAGGAAAACGCAGTATAATACTGCGCTTTCCTAAAACGCAGTATTATTCTACGTTTTCCTTTAACGGCTAACATTCCGTTAAATTAAAACGCAGTATAATACTGCGTTTTAGTTAGAAAGGTAACTTTTTTTTTTTAGCTGTATAAAGATATTTTGAGTCTAAAATACCATTATTTAGGTTTCGGACTCGAGTTTAAATCCTCACTAGGTACTCGCTACCTTCCAACACCATAGGTATCACGCAGTGTTTGTTGCCAAAAAATCCTTTCAATCTCATTTGAATTGATGATGATGTTGACTCTTTGAGGATGGTTTTGACAAAGACAACTCTCCAGTACAGGATGTTAGAACAAAAATAACAGTAGATCTTTTACATTTAAATTTATCACTTAATGATAATTAATGGTTGGAGGAAAACGATTTCCATAACGACGGACTCTGGAAAATAGTTTATTTTGCAATACCAATTTTGGATTATCTTCTAGTGTTTAGTTGAGGGTAAAAGTAGATCAAGTGTTATAACTGTACGAAGTGTAAGGGTATAACGATCGTATTTTGGTAGTCCTTCAGCAATTTAGGTTGACAGTATTATTTATATGTTAATGAAGCAACTGATACGGAAAAGAGCTGGAATCTGTAACGAAGATGACTACAATTCATAGATTAGGGGAAATCACTTTCATCCAGTTGGTGGAAAACATATACTTGGTGAAAAATTATCCAGATCTTAATGTAAGCAAACACTAAAATACTTCATTATAGAAAACATTTTCCGACGTATCAAATACCTCTATATCTTTCTGCATAATACTAGCTGTCGTCTGGTAGTTAATAGATATACACACAACATCATGAGCTAAAACAGATGCTACTGACTTCGCGCAGATACAGGATATAGCCATTTGCAGAGAAGATTCCTATACTCTTTAAGACAAAAGAGGGAAGTTTCTGTTGATCAATTTACCAGCAGATCCATGGAAAGATATATTTAGAAGCACTACCACTTACTCCTATTATACATGTAGTACAGAAAGCAAAGTTGACTAAACAATTTGGCGAACCAAGACCCTTCATGGCCCCCCTACTCATACAAATACAATCATTCTTGACTTCTAAAAACTGTAAACAAAATTGTGACATTTGATTGCTGCGCTGTAATCAAATGATTAGTCTGTCTCCTGCCACTCGATATCTACCAATGAATCAATTTATCTTTGCCTGGTGTTCTCATTTCCTTCTGTGTTTGTTTTTATTAATTTTCACAAACTTCCGGCCTGATTTGTCAGGGCCACTGCTACCCAACGAGAAGCTCCCACCACCACCAAATTCTTGACTGCTTGATGCTACAAATGGAGAAGAATTCTGAGAAGCAGCCTGAACTAGACTGCTTGATGCTGCAAATGGAAAAGAATTCTGAGGTGCAGTCTGACTCTGTTGGCCTCCTCCAAACTGGAATGTACTAGGTGTTGAACCAAATACAAAGCCACCTGGAGAGGGCGAGACAGAAGGTTGACCAAAGGAAACTGCCGGTGCAGGAGCCTGCATAAGATCCTCAGCCATGCTGTCTTCCATGTTATCATTGTTTCCGGGGGACGCAGCAAAAGCTGAAGCAGAATTCCCAAACATGGGCTGAGAAGATGAATTTGTGGAAGAAGCTGAACCAAATAGAAAAGCAGAACCACTTGCGGCGCTGGGTGTCGCTCCAAAGACCATCGGAGAAGTGCTTGGAGTGGCAAAAGAAGATGAAGATGCTCCAAATGTAAATCCAGAGAGAGCAGAAGAACTAAATGGGGAAGTGAAGCCAGGAGATTTTTGGGGCTGCAAACTGGATCCAAAATTTCCAGCAGTGCTAGAGGCTTGTGAAGAGGCCGAAGTGGCACCGAAGGTGAATGGGCTAGCATTGACTGTGCTACCGGCATTTGTCAAGGAAGATGAAGAATTAGCACCAAAATTGAAGATTCCAGGAGTAGCACTAGTGGAGGTGTTGACAGCATTTGTAGGGGAAGTTGAAGAACTACCACCAAAATTAAATATATTGGGGGTAGTACTGCTGGAGATGTTAACAGCATTTGTAGAGGAAGCTGAAGAACTACCACCAAAATTGAATGTCCCAGGAGTAGCGCTGCTGGAGGTGGCAGGTACACTGGTTTCCGAAGCAGGAGCTGCAGAACTGGCACTAAATGCAAATGCCAACGGGGCCGTGCCATTTATAGACCCAGTTAACCTGCCTGCTGCACTGGAAGCTGACGAACTAGCACCAAAATTAAATATTCCAGAAGCAGCACTGCTGGTGCCAACTAGGTCGTTTTTCGAAGGTGAAGCAGAAACTTGGCCAGTAGTACCAGGCGCAGAACCAAACACGGGAAAGTTTGCTATGGATGGTGATGAAGCAGATGAACCGAAATGAGCAGGCTTGCTCCCAGAGACGACAGAAGTGCCAGATCCAGCAACAGAAGTCTGTGCACTAACAAGTGATTCACCTCCTGTACTAAAAACAGAACCCTGAGACTGTGTACTACCTGTAGTAACCGCTGACATTACTGATGAACTAAAACCAGAGATACTATTTCCAGAGCCTGTAGCTGCAAAAGACGCAACCACAAAAGGTGAACTCTTCAAGTTGCCAAAAGTAGTTCCAGTCTCGGATTTGGCGTTCACGTCTGTAGTTTCTGCGGTGGAAGTTGTTGATGGTGCTGAAACTGTTTCTGAAGGAACTCCAAAGAAACCAATAGGAGGTTCCTTCGAAACTGAGGATGCTGCACTGGAACCAAAGAGACTGCTCGCGGAAGCAGTAGAGCTGCCTGTTGTGGCAGCAATCATACTCACAATGCTCGTCAAAGGGGACAAAATATTTGAGCTACTAGTAGAAATACCATTTGTAAAATTACCTGACAACAAGGCAGAGGTGGTTGAGATAGCAGGACTAGGAGCAAATAGTCCATTACTTAAACTTGAAGTGCTGGATGGAGCACCTAATGAGAAAATACCACTTGCTGATATTGAACTTGATGGACCAGATGATGATGCTTCTAATTTTCCATTGCTGTCCACAGCCTTCTGTGAGTTATCCAGCTGAAAAGGATTAGGCCGAGCACCAGTTGGGCTGGACGCTAGATTGGATACACTGCAGACATTTCAACAAATTTCAGATGCACTTTCAGGCAGTATAAAAAAGGGTGCACAAAACACACAAGAATGGACTGTTTTTCCAACTACCCCCTAACAGCTAACTAGTAAAACATTCTGAAACCTGTCATCATCTTCTCTCCGCACAAACTTCAGCAACTGCTAGACCACACTCATGGATGCAAAATTCTTTATTAAATAATGCTAATTTTAAACTAAACCTTTACGATTTTTTATAGTAATTTGGCACTCAAAAGTACTTTTTGGAAAGATTGCCCAAGCACAATTTGCCAACTATCACAAAAGGTACTTCTCAAACGAATTAGCCAAGCACAAACTACTAATCTTCAAAAGTACTTTTTCGAGAAGTACTTTTAAACAAAAGTAATTTTCAAAATAAGTAGTTTTTGGCAGCTTAGATGAACGGGCTCCGAATCAAGTGCAAACAACAGCGAGGAAATGCATCTCAAGGAAACAAGCGTTCCAGACCCATATATATTGAGAAGTACAACTAGGATATCACTAGAAATAAGGTTGTCGCAGCAAGATATTTGCAACAGAAGGGACCAGATAGCTACAAACACTATTATCAGAACAAATAAATAAAAGCATCAGATGATAAAATGGTTAGAATATTGTTGATCATATTTAGGAGTATATTATAGCAGGAACTAACCCGCTCGAGCTTCCTGGCTTTGACACAGTGATTTGGGTTGATGACGAAAATACAAATGGTGGAACCTTGTCAACATTTGTCTCCTTGTTAGACGCCGTTGCTAGTGATTGGGAACCTGCACTAGGCAGGAAAATGGTGTTCTTGACAGCGGTGGCACCACTATCAGGAGTCTCTGTATCAGAGTTTTTGCCTAAAACACCAGAAGGAGTCCTTACTTCCAGCAAAGCAGCAGGTTTGCTCGTGGGTTCAGCAGCACATAATGGCTTCTGGTCCGCAGCAGATATTTCCAGCTTCCCTCTCCCTTCAGCTAATTGAGATGAAGGCCCATTAGAGTGTATGTCCTCTTCTAGCTCAAAAGAATCCTGTAGAATGCACCACAACAGACATGATAAAAAGTAATATCTACCATCTAAATGACAATGGCCAGTGAAGACCTGAACCTCAAAAGAACCGTAAAGGCATAAACAGATAAGAACAAAATTGCAAAGCAGTCCGCAAATTGAATTCATAATGGCCAGTGAAGCAGCTAAAGTCACACAAGAAACAAGCAAATAATATATCCCACCTACATAAATGCTAATACCAGAATAGTGGTGGTAATGATTATAGAGCAGAATTAAATAACTAACAAAATGATCACATGGATCTCTACAACGGGAGGGAACTTTATCTATAGAAAAATAACCATTCATACACAGAAGATTATTTTCCAAAAATAAGTACAATATGAAGTTGTCAGCAAAAAAGCACTATCCAATGCCAATTTAAAACTTGTTAAAGTCAAAGAATCTACATGCAGTGAGAAAAAAGATGCGCACCTCGTGTGCACTCATCTTAAAAGCTCGTTTCTTGGGAGGAGGTTGAGTTGCAGACTGGTTTACCATGGAATTGGTTTCAACAGTGGGTTGAGTATCTTTAAATGAAAAGATTGTGTCGTTTTTCCCTTTAGCAGCTGACTCGCTAGCAGAACTACGCCCATTTTGTTCAATTTCCCCTTGCTTCGCTTCACGGGGATTGGGAGGAAATATTTTAGACCAGTTCTCCAGCTTATAGCTATCGCGTGCGCTCTGCAGCAGCTTGGGTGAATCCAAATCCTCCAAGCTTCTAAGAGCTCGTCCATGAAGCATGTTCGGTGTCAGTTTATTCTCTTTCCCTGCAGCTAATTTGGATTCTGATGATTTTCCCTTTGGGGTCATCTTTTCGAGATGCTCCAATATCTTTGCAGCAGTCTCACTAGACTTTGGAGGAACGGCAATATGCCTTGTAGGCGTGGTTTTATTATCTTGGACATCTCCAACAACTTTTGATACCTCCGGATGCAGGTTGCTGGCTGAAGCAACTCCAGCACTGGGACGTGAAACTCCAAAAGATAGAAGATTAGGTTTCTGCCTAATCCTACGCATGGGACCAACAGATCCAAGATCATCATCCAGAACATAGCTTCTTCGTTTAAGGGCCTGAAAGAGTGAAAAATTACAAAATAAATAAGCAAATAAGGAAAAGAAGTGAAAAGAATAAGCTCATTTGATGATAACCCAGGTACACAATGCATAGGAGTTCAGAACAACAACATAGTAATCTGTAAATAAATACCTGTTTAGAACCAAAAAGTACATCGTGCTCCGACACTGACCTAGATGATGAACACCCACCATTGACATAATTTGTCAAGCTGGTAGCCTGGTAGTAGACCAATTTTAAAACAAAAAAGTTCAGTCACACATAAAACGATTTCCAAGATCGAAGTAAGAAGAAAACAAACAAACCTTCTGAACCTCAGTTTGACGAACTCTAGAGTATGGCGTACGAGCCATGCTGTATATAGCAGATCTGCCATGAGATCTTGGAGTGGTAAACCCATTTTCTCGAACGCAGAGAAGACCAGCAGTCCTAGTTGTTGCTGATGGAAGAGGTGATTTTTGGACATACTGTACATTTCTTAGCAGAGGTGTATCTTCTCTCACAGCTTGACTACGCGTGCTCAGCATTGACGGCGACACCTTTGATGACCTACTCCCCATGTAAGCTTTTGCAAGCTCAGCAGGGGATGCAATATCATCTTCAAGAATCTGGAAACATGAACCATAAATATGTCAGGCTACCAAGAATCTATTCGATTCTGGCAAAGTCAACAGATTGAGTATCCAGAGAAAAGTCAGAAAAGAACACACTAGAGAATAGGATTTAACCCTGGAATTCGTGACAGGAGTTGCGACAACTTCACCGGATGTAACCTTCACAGACCTATTTCCTTCCATCAAGCTGCTCGAAGAATCCAATGCACGTCTAGATAGAATGGCCTCGGCTCTTTTCTCCTCATCTCCCATAGGCACGTCTGCAGCTTTTGAGCGCAAAAGTTCTGTCAAGCGATTAATCTCAGTTCTGCACACACAGCACTTCATGTTAGTAAATATCCACCTTGCAATCGAGCAACTGAAAATTCCACTAAACAATATCTAATGACAGTAATTATACGGCAAGGAGAATCGTACATACGTCAGAATTATATGCAGACGACACCCTCGTGTCAAACAGAAAGAAAAGGAAAACCTTTAGTTAGGTTAATTCTGCTGGTTTTTTAAGGGATAACTAGCCTTTACATGAACTTACAAAAAGTCACCGATTCCTGGTCAATGAAGCATACAACATACTAAGACTGGAAGATATATCAGGATGCAAGGTAGGAATAATACCTGGGCATGCCACTAGCTTCAAAGCTGAAAGGGTTATAGGTAAATGTGAAAGGAAATTGGCAAATTGGAAAGACAATACTTGTCATTGGGAGGTAAATCAGTACTTATCAGTGTTTTTAAATCCATCATTTTGTCGGTCAAAGCAGTGAAGCAATGAAAAATGAGGCTGATGTACATGAGACAGATCAAATGATAGAATTAGTAGTTCAATAAATGTGCAGTAATACTGATTTTTGTTATTTTGTAATGCAGAGGCCCAGCACCACTAGAGGCTGGAAGAAGAAGATTTTATGTTACTTCATCAAAAGAAAAACAGATGCTTCTACAACGACTAGTTACCAAAATTTCTGGAAAGGGGCTATCATAAAGTTCTTTTTTAGGTTGACACAGTCAATTATCACAAATCTTACCTGGTAAATGTCTTCTGTTTCAACAGCTGCTCAAGCTCTGAGAATGTGCCGTCCGCCGAGCTGCATGCAGCATGGTCATCTCCTTGTCCTGCCACCACTAGTGCTCCAGTATACTCCTTCACGGAGAGGAAGAAATGTTCCCCAGAAGGGGACACTTTTATCAGCATTGACCATAGATACATCTAAGGTAGAGCATACATTTCTTACTAGCAGTGTTCTCAAAAGCAAAGCGCCCAGAGGTGTGACAAAGTTCATGGGGCTTGAGGTGAAAAGTCAGAAGTGAAGCGCATAATATACGAAAAATTAATAGTACCAAACATATATGAACTTAGTGCTATATTACTCAAATTGTAACTAAAATAGCTAATTTCAGCATCAGATATACAGTTATACTGATATTGTTCCAACTCCTCCAGATTGAGATCCAAAGACCATCCACATTTTTCGTTTTATCACTTTGCACATAATTGTTCGGAGCACAGATTTCTCCAAGGGGCGTGACTTCAACCTGGAAGCAATAACTCCTTGCTTTGCATTGGTTTGAGAAAGAAAGCGATGACTTCAATAAAACTACTTAATGGACAAATTATGGAGCTCTTTTGGACACATGGTCACTAAAAGAAAGGATGACAGTCAGCACGGAAGGAATACAAAAGTTGCCAATTAGGAAACAGATGATCCACATAATCAAAAATTAGTACATCAGCACAATGCTCCCACAAGAATAGCATGGGGGTGTTATCAGCTTTCATCATAAATTTTGAGTGAAACATACATTTCTTAATAGATTATGATTATAGCAGGAAAAAAAAGAATACACAAGCTGTAATGTCTTGGAAGACATATAATCACATAATCAATTATAAAGGAACCATATAGCTTTGAGAACAAAATTCAAGAATAATAAACTTACATTGGGACTTGACTCCTGACGCAGATCCTTTGATTCTTGGCTTGGTCCTGTTTTATACCAAAATGAAATCATGTCTCAAATGAAGTCATTGTTGAAAGCAGAATGCTAAGAGAATGCTACTAGTACACCATTCAAAAAATTACTTCAGTTTAATAATATCAATCCATAAACTACATCTTAATTCCAATCTAGTTTGGTCTCAAACAAAGGTATCATCCCAACAAAAACTATCGCCACTTCAAACAGCTGAATAGCCAGTGGGTTTCTGGCTGACAACAATGATCAGATGGACGAAGGAGAAAGTAACACCTAAGTTGACTCAACAAGGTCAAAAGGATTCTCTAGTTCAGCCACAAGCAGCCAATTCTATGAAAATAGTTCAATCCACATCTGTAAAAATGTACAGCTCGCCGTCGCTTCCAGTGCTTTCTCAACTAATTCTATAAAACCTTAAAAGTAGTGTAAAATCAAAAGAATTTCATACTAAAGTCAAACCCCATAACGATCTCGAACATGGTAAGAACTCTATCCTCAGTCTCAGTGACTATAAAAGCTCAAGTAGAAAGACCTAAAAACTGTCTATTTCATTAGAACCCCATAACAATTACAAACAAGGTAAAATAAAAGCTCCATCCTCACAACTATATAAGCTCGAGTAGCAAGCAGAAACAATCATATATTAAAGTCGAACATCATAACGATATCAAACATGGTAAAAACTCCATCCACTTAACTATACAAGCTGAAGCAGCAGCACAAATCAGTAATCAACTGTTCTGCTGCATACCACAATGAACACAACTATCAGATTCTCAAGTTTCATAGTTAGACAAAGCAATACTACCAATTGGAAGCTCTAAATCTCTAACTATATCCCTAAGGAACCCAAAATTTGCAGCTACAAACAACGAAAGACAATTATTTTCAAACATCAATTAATCATTGAACAACCAACATACACTCAGATCCAATCATCATGAAAAAACTCATCCTTTCTTCCTCCAACAAAAATCAAACTAACTCTTCAAAATCCTCATAAATATCCGATCTTTCCCACTACATGAGACCAATAGTACTATAACTACCGCCTAGCAAAATAACTCTTGTAAATCCTCCAAACTATCCAATATTTTCCACTAAATGAGACCAATAATCACATTAATTGATAAATCACGCAATTACATAAATCAATATACGGTAGAAAATGTTTTTAAAAAAAATTACACAGGGAGAGTAAAAACCTGGAGGAGGTGGAGGTAATGGCGTGGGGGAAGGGGGGAGGCGCTTTTGGAATATTGAGGAAAAGAAGCGTTGAGCACCGGAAGTTATGAGCTTTGATGCGGGGTCCACCACGAGCTTAGTAAGCCAACTAGAGTTTCGAAGTGCCGTCGGTGGACGATCGTACGGAGTATTATTCTGGTTCCGACGTAACGGCCTTTTCCTAAACTTTCCTCCGGCTCCTCCTCCTTCGTATGCCGCCGCCGCCGCCGTGCCTTCGCCCGCCGTTGCCATTTTACTGAGAGAGAACACCGCACCGAGTACCAAAATTGGAGAGAGAAAGAAAGGAGAGAGAAGGGAAAATTAGGGTTTTATTTTCGTTGGGACAGACACAGAAAGCGATGCCCGTTATTATTATTTTTTAATTTAATGAAATAAGCATTAAGCAAAAAAAGAAAAAAACTCCACTACTGTAGTATTTTAAAATAGGGGAAAATAAAATGAATTAAAATTGTGTGGAGTTAATTTAAAAACAAAAAAACAAAAAAAAAATCTGAGGAGCGTGAGGATCTGTATAATTTGAACGATGTTAAATTGAGAAAAGTGGGCGGGCCAGTGGGGTGACCAAATTTTTGGCGCCTGTGACTGTAATTTTAGTATTGCCTGTACTGATCAACTACAGTGCTAAAAAAGGTTACAAATATTTGTGGTGTTGTCATTACCATTTTACTCTTTACTTCAGTAGTACTTGCCAAAGTACATCGTCCTCTTGCGAATTGTATCGTGTCTTGATTTCATGTTTTGTTTATAATCCAGTATTTCTCGAGGATCAGTGGCATATGATTCTATTTTCGTTGAATAACGTGTTCGTCTATTTACCCTTATATATTCATTTGAATATCAAAATTTGTTTGTGGCAAGGTTTGAAATCGTGACGTGTGTCTAACTCATACATCACGTGTTGAGCTCTTACCACTAACTAAAGCCCTTCAGGGATTATTTGGTACATGTGATAAGAATAATAATCTCGCGATAAAATTTGGGATTAACTTTATCCCATGATTGGTTTGGGGTATTAGCTAATACTAGGATAACTTTTACATTTGTATGGGTCAGAATCCGACCCCACGATAATTAACGAAACCAATTCCGTCTTAAGCTAATTCATGATTAATTAGTGGCACGACCACTCAGAATTAACGATATTCAACCCGCATATGATTCGATCAGCAAGGCCATGGCCTATCCGCCACCGTGAAGGCGAAATCCCAACGTGGTCACGGCCACTTATTGCCAGCTCACGAAGCTCACGGCTATAAATACCAAGAGAGGAAACCCTAGAAAGGGTGGCTTCTTGTTCACCACTATTGAGAGAGAAAAAAGAGACAACGATACCCAAATTATGGGCAAGAGGAACACCATTGTAAGGCTCTCAACCTCTTCATGGAGAGGCAGACCAAACCAATATTATCAATAAAGGCTTCTAATGTTTCTCCCCCTAATCCTGAGTACTTATTTTCGTTTCCTTCATTTGGTCCAACGGATTATTACGGTTTGCTATGATTTTTCCGTGATTTATTTATATTGTTTTATACTCATAAGGTATGTAATAACTTTTGAGTCAAACAATTTGGCGTCGTCTGTGGGGATTTCCTAGCAAAATCGCGTAGTTCTTCCCTGGACCAAAAGAAAAGAAACGCCAAACTCGAAGGGGAACTCGAAGATCTCAAATCAAGATCTAAGTCCTCTCTCTCTCTCCGATCTCAGATAGTGCAAACAAAAAGAAGAAGCCTCCCCCCCCCCTCCTAGGGGAAGGTCTCTGTAAGGCATCTCCCACGTCCCTGATACGAGCTCCGGTCAGAAATCGGCACGGAGAAATCTCGAGCCGAGAGTCGCCTCAAGACAGCCTATATACCCTGGTTGGGAAGACAACGGATAAGCCGCTCAAGGTCTCGAATCCAAAACGAGTTTCAACACTCAATACCCACAATATGGGACTCAGGCCATGAGCCTTCGTCATCAAGATCGACACAGTTCAACAATAGTTGAACTGGGACTCAGGCCACGAGCCTTCGCCATCAAAATCGACAGAGTTCAACAACAGCTGAACTGGGACTCAGGCTACGCGCCTTCGCCATCAAAATTGACCGAGTTCAACAACAGTTGAACCAAGACTCAGGCTAAGCGCCTTCGTCATTAAATCTAGGCTATGAGCCTTCGCCAGTAAGTTCAACTACGGTTGAACCAAGACTCAAGCTAAGCGCCTTCGTCATTAAATCTAGGCTATGAGCCTTCGCCAGTAAGTTCAACTACGGTTGAACCAAGACTCAGGCTAAGCGCCTTCATCATTAAATCAAGGCTATGCGCCCTCGCCAAGAAGTTCAACCACGGTTAAACCAAGACTCAGGCTACGCGCCTTCGCCATCAAAATCGACCGAGTTCAACAACAGTTGAACTGGGACTCAGGCTATGCGCCTTCGCCATCAAAATCGACAAAGTTCAACAACAGTTGAACTGGGACTCAGACCATGAGCCTTCGCCATCAAGATCGACAAAGTTCAACAACAGTTGAACTGGGACTCAGGCTATGAGCCTTCGCCATCAAGATCGACTAAGTTCAACAACAGTTGAACTGGGACTCAGGCTATGAGCCTTCGCCATCAAGGTCGACAAAGTTCAACAACNGGACCAAGCTACTCCCCTGGAGCAATAAGTTCAACTCCGTGGGAACCTCAATGAAGCGAGATCGCCCCTCTGCGCGCACCGCTGAATTGGTGAAGCCTTCCTGGAACATACGGACGTCGTCGGGGTCCAAGTCGGATTCAGACTCGTACTCACCCTCTATAGCATCTCTTCCTCCTTCAGCCATCGGCGAGGTGGAATCTCCCGCCGCAGCCGCCAAAGGAGTGCTTAACTCACCAACCTCACCAGCCGCTGAGGAACTACCTCCCGTCTCAGCGACTGGAACCACCGACTGAGTCGCCGAAGCGACGGTATCCTCATGGCCTAAGCCAGCCAGGGCAACCCCCATTGACTGTTCACCCTCAAGAGCAGGCGCCGCGACCGCACCCCTCTCCGCATCCGTCGGAGGAGAGTCCAAATTGATTACCACAGGAGGAGCCGGCGTGAACACAACCCTACGCCTTATCAAGGGCCTCTCCTCCTCCCCGTCTGATGATGATTCCGCCCTAGGGCGCACAACCCCTGATGGCCCCTCGTCCCGAAGCGCGGCCCGTGCTGGAGAAGGAACCGCTGAAGATTCAACTGATGCCGCCCTTGGTATTGAGCGCGACACAGGCGCCGCAGTAAGTCGAGCGACTGCACCCGGCCGACGGAAGGCCAACTGAGGGGCCCTGACGTGGCGTGCCCTCCCTGATCACAGAAAAACAAAGTTAATCAATAGATTTGAAACAAAGCGGAACAGAAGAAATCAATTTTTTACCTGCCGCAGGCCTACGGCCATGCTTCTCCCAGAAAGATGCCCATGTGCGTATCCCCAGCGTATGGGGGAGTACTGCCTCAACCCATCCGCAAATCCCAGCTAACGGAGCCGGCGGCGATTTTTCGGCTACAAAATTGACACGAGTTAACGCTTACGAACACAAGGCGTAAGGAGGGGTAGAAAAAAAAAGAATTCGACGATAAAAGAACTTACGTGCATGATTCCAAGCCTCTGGGAACCCAGCAAAGCACGCCACTAAATGTTCAGTCCTGATGTAGAAGAAGTGCTCAAAAGGGTGAGGATCGACCTCGTAATCCAGTCTTGCAGCCAGGCCCCTCAACCCACGAGGGCACGCTTGAATCATTGTACCGCGAACCCTCTAGGGAGCGTAGAGACTAAGCACATGCTGCAGCGTGACCTCCCTACCGGCCAGTTCTGCATATTTGATAAACATAGCTAGCAATTTGTAAAGAGAAGGAGCAAGATGACCCGGGCACACCCCGTAATAACAACAGAAATCAACCACCAGCATTGGGAGCGGGAGCTTAAACCCCAACTTGAAGGGGTAGGCGTAAAAGACGCAGTATCCCCTACGGTCGGTGTGGACCCTCTCCTCGCTTCTAGCGAGAATGACGTCAGCATAGCCGGGGATGACCCCCTATCCCCGTAGTCGGGACATCCCAATCTCCCCCATTAATGGGGCTTCATCCACCTGATCCTCCCCACCATCGGCAGTGAAATCAGTCATCGGACCTCCGGGCAGAGGTACTATCTCGTCAACCGACGGAGGTTCACCGGTCTCCACCAGTTCTGCATCACCCATTGCCGGAAATGGCCCCTCGGTCACCGGTGAGTTAACCGGAAGACCCGTCGGAAGAACGTTTTGGGAAGAAATGCCTGCCATTGTTGATACAATAACGAGAAAGAAACAAGGTTTGAGGGACGAAGACGAAGGTGAAACAGCAGTAAGAAAAGCTTCTTCAGAATCTCTCTCAGACAAACAATGAGAATATAAAAAATGAATGCCTCAGCCTTTATTTATAGGCAACGCAAGTGGCCTTCATGCACCCCAACAGCCACCATTAACTACATGACCAACCGCACACCGGTTCGATTCCATAGGAATGTGCGTCATTATGACAGGCTCCATAAAGCAGCCTTGCAATCACCAATCGGCGTCTCGCCCTCGAAATGGTTATTAGGACCTATGAATGCCGAGGAGATGCTCCTTGCGCCCTAGAAATTTTTTGACATCGCCAAACACGTATCAAGCGTGCCCTCACTCCCCTCGGCCGCACAACATACGACCCGTCCGCCATGGTCGACGGGTATGCACCCAAAACAAACGTAAGGATCAGAGCACAATGAAGCTCGACCTCACTCGAAGTAAGTTAAAAGGTCAAGAGCCTTCGCCAAGGAGGAGAGTTCGACCTCGATCGAACGATGACTTGATAGCACAATAACAGAATACTAATATTCTACAAGGCTAAGGGCCATCGCCAAAGAGAATTCGGCCTCGACCGAAGCAACAGTCGACCTCCCCATCCGAGTTTCTCAAACTACAGTCGATGGAATCCAGTCATCGAGCTCGGCCAAGGCCCGACCTCAATAAGCGGAGGGACTAACTGTATGGGTCAGAATCCGATCCCACGATAATTAACGAAGCTAATCCCGTCTTAAGCTAATTCATGATTAATTAGTGGCACGACCACTCAGAATTAACGATATTCAACCCGCATCTGATTCGATCAGCAAGGCCATGGCCTATCCGCCACCATGAAGGCAAAATCCCAACGTGGTCACGGCCACTTATTGCCAGCTCACGAAGCTCACAGCTATAAATACCAAGAGAGGAAACCCTAGAAA